TCGAAGCACATATAAACAGTGTATTTCCACATACGTAATATTAACCGACTTCTTCCAGCTCTTTCAGTAAAGAGCACTGTGATTCTTGTTCATGCTTTAGTCACTTCCCGTATTGATTACTGTTACGCTCTTTTTTTATGGCCTGCCTTCAAAGCTTCTCTACAAAACTCCAGCTAGTACAGAATTCAGCTGCTTGAATTATTTGCAGAACTTCTCTAGCTGAACACATTACTCCCATACTACAACACTTGCATTGGCTCCTGGTTAAATATCATATTGATTTTAAAATTATTCTTCTTTCTTACAAGGGACTCAATAATCTTACCCCTTCATACTTATCTGACCTTCTTCATATTTACACACTATAAGATCATCTTCTGCACTTACTCTTGTTCTCCCTCGAACTCGCACTTCTTGGTCATGCAGCTCCTTATTTATGGAACTTGTTCCCACAGGATGTGCGAAACAGTGAAAGTCTTTCTATTCTAATGGTTTGTCGCAGTGCCGGCAGATGGCCGACAGTCAGCAAAGATGACCAGCTCTGTCTCATTCGTCTAATAATAAAATCGATTTCACCTTGGCATTGTGAGTCTATTTGAATCAAACAAGTTCTTATAGTGGTTAGTGCTCAGCAAACAAAGAATGTTTCAGTTTAAGCACATGACCTTTGGAGGGTCAGATGGGAAAGATGCTTCAGCCATATTTTCCCTGCTATTGCTTGTTGCTGTAGTTCATGCTGGAACATTCAAAGAATTTTTGACCTGATTCCATTACTAAAGAAAAACGTTTTCCATTTCACATTATAAGTGATGTTTTTATTTTTGACACAATCTATTTTCAAAACTATGCACAGCTTATGGCCTTCGACAGGAAATGCAGTTAGAGGTGGTATGGGGTCATAAGCCTCCAACCACAAATTCTAGTGTTCCGCTGACAAGTCTGAGGTGTTATCGTCTAGTGGCACATTGTATGTAGGTGAGACACTAGTGCTATTATAAGACAACACCATCATCACATTCTGTATAAGAAAAAAATCTGTTATGCAATACTGTGCTGTTCTTTTAATGATTAAAAAAATTCAAAAGAGTTATTAGAGAAAACAGGCTTGTATCTGGGTCACCCTTACATTATTGCATTTGATAAGTCTGTCTTGTTTGAGGTCCTTTCATGCTTTAAAGGGATACTCCACCCAAAAATGAAAATTCTGTCTGATATTCTAATTCTGATATTTTGAAGAACGATTGGAACCAAACAGTTGTGGGGCACCATTGACTTCCATAGTATTTTTTTTTTTTCTACTATGGAAGTCAATGGTGCCAAACAGCTGTTTGGTTCCAGTCGTTCTTCAAAATATCTTCCTTTGTGTTCAGCAGAAGAAAGAAACTCATACAGGTTTGCAACAACTTGAGGGTGAGTAAATGATGACAGAATTTTCAATTTTGGGTGGAGTATCCCTTTAAGGTCTACTAGTTCTAAGAAACTTATAAGAGATCCATGTTAATGATCTCACATAAAAATTACAACTCATTAACAGGTTGTATTTAGAAGGAAAATATTTTGGATCTGTCTTTAACTTACACCTCTTACTAGTATTCTTTTATTATTATTTTTTGACAAAGACTTCAGATGCGCAAAATGAGCAATGCATTTATTTTGCAATCCTAAATACTGGAACTCCAGTCCAAAGCTTTTCTCCTGGTTCAATTTAAACTGCATTATCTTTTAATACTTTAGTCACACTACACTTACTGTCTCTGCTGTCTGTGATGTGTGGTGTTGTGTGTGTCCGCTTTACTGTTGTGTGTGTCCGCTTTACTGTCCTCTCTACACTAAAGGATCTTGTTGAATTAATTGTTCTTGAGTGCAAAACAGTAAAAATGTAATATATAAGGACCTGGTTTCACAGGATTTCACAGGCTTTAGTTCAATTAGGATGTTCAAGTAGCTTTTACAAATGGGGCTTAGATTACAGTTTTTTTCAGTCGCTAACAAGCGTTTGTCCAACCAGTAGTCACATTTTCAAAACTCTAAACACAATTAGCACAACATCGGTCTATTGTGGCCATACCATTCACACATTTCATGTCGTTTTCACACAATATGCAGTCAGTGAACACATTTCCACAATGCTTACATTTTCTTAACAGACAAGTTATACCTCCCAACAAAATTATGGATTGTTTTTGTAGTATTTGCGAATGTTAACACACACCATCCCACAATAGCAAAAACAATATTCCAAACCTTAGATACAGTATAAAAACCTCTGCTCCTGCAATGATATCAGTTCAAAAACAATATATCTCAGCAAAATAATAAACAAACAATTGAATAATTGACACACAGCTGATTTATGTTGGGTAAATTGGGCCAACCCAAAATTACCCAATTTTTTTCTATTACATTGACACTTATACAGTAAAATTAGGACTTTGAGGAGTGATGTTTTTGGAAACAGAAACAGAAAAAGACAAACACTGTAATTTCTGGACGAGGAAGAGTAAGAGCAAGGGGCCCAGGGAGAAGAGCAGGAGCAGTGAGAGATGCAGTGAGAGGTGCAGTGAGAGATGCAGTGAGAGGAGCAGTGAGAGGTGCAGTGAGAGGTGCAGTGAGAGGTGCAGTGAGAGGAGCAGTGAGAGATGCAGTGAGAGGTGCAGTGAGAGATGCAGTGAGAGATGCAGTGAGAGGAGCAGTGAGAGATGCAGTGAGAGGTGCAGTGAGAGATGCAGTGAGAGGAGCAGTGAGAGATGCAGTGAGAGGTGCAGTGAGAGATGCAGTGAGAGATGCAGTGAGAGATGCAGTGAGAGGAGCAGTGAGAGATGCAGTGAGAGGTGCAGTGAGAGATGCAGTGAGAGGAGCAGTGAGAGATGCAGTGAGAGATGCAGTGAGAGGAGCAGTGAGAGGAGCAGTGAGAGATACAGTGAGAGGAGCAGTGAGAGGTGCAGTGAGAGATGCAGTGAGAGGTGCAGTGAGAGATGCAGTGAGAGGTGCAGTGAGAGGAGCAGTGAGAGGTGCAGTGAGAGATGCAGTGAGAGGAGCAGTGAGAGATGCAGTGAGAGGTGCAGTGAGAGATGCAGTGAGAGGAGCAGTGAGAGATGCAGTGAGAGATGCAGTGAGAGGAGCAGTGAGAGGTGCAGTGAGAGGAGCAGTGAGAGATACAGTGAGAGGAGCAGTGAGAGGTGCAGTGAGAGATGCAGTGAGAGGTGCAGTGAGAGATGCAGTGAGAGGTGCAGTGAGAGGAGCAGTGAGAGGTGCAGTGAGAGATGCAGTGAGAGGAGCAGTGAGAGATGCAGTGAGAGATGCAGTGAGAGATACAGTGAGAGGAGCAGTGAGAGGTGCAGTGAGAGATGCAGTGAGAGGTGCAGTGAGAGATGCAGTGAGAGGTGCAGTGAGAGATGCAGTGAGAGGAGCAGTGAGAGGTGCAGTGAGAGATGCAGTGAGAGGTGCAGTGAGAGATGCAGTGAGAGGTGCAGTGAGAGATGCAGTGAGAGGTGCAGTGAGAGGTGCAGTGAGAGGAGCAGTGAGAGGTGCAGTGAGAGATGCAGTGAGAGGTGCAGTGAGAGATGCAGTGAGAGGTGCAGTGAGAGATGCAGTGAGAGATGCAGTGAGAGGCGCAGTGAGAGATGCAGTGAGAGATGCAGTGAGAGGTGCAGTGAGAGGTGCAGTGAGAGGTGCAGTGAGAGGTGCAGTGAGAGATGCAGTGAGAGGTGCAGTGAGAGGTGCAGTGAGAGATGCAGTGAGAGGTGCAGTGAGAGGTGCAGTGAGAGGTGCAGTGAGAGGTGCAGTGAGAGATGCAGTGAGAGGTGCAGTGAGAGGTGCAGTGAGAGGTGCAGTGAGAGGTGCAATGAGAGATGCAGTGAGAGATGCAGTGAGAGGTGCAGTGAGATGTGCAGTGAGAGGTGCAGTGAGAGATGCAGTGAGAGGTGCAGTGAGATGTGCAGTGAGAGATGCAGTGAGAGATGCAGTGAGAGGTGCAGTGAGAGGTGCAGAAGTGCAATATTTGATGAAAACATGTGGCCTAACCCTGAAGATTGCAGAGATTAGATACAGTAATTTTGTGCTTTTTTTGTAAGCAATACTGTAAAACTTTTTCTGTTCTATCATACCGTGTTTCTACTGTACCTCCTGTTGTAAACAGTAAAGGGAAAAAACTGATTTGCTTTTTACTAGAATGCTTTTGAATGTGAACATTACTGTACATGTGGACATACAGTTCCCAACCAAGAAATTTAGTGTAAAAAGGTTGGATTGCATGTTTTGCATGCAAATACCTGTAAAACTGAAACATCAAAGTCTATGCAGTTATTGTAATGTCAACAATAGCCAGTATTTTGAAACCTGGTGTACTTTGATTGACTGCATGTACCGTGTGAAGTGAAAACAAGTGTTATTCTTTGACAGAATAATTTCATTTTGAGTCAGATTTCCAGTGTTTTGGTAAAGTTAGTGTGTGCAGAGAAAGATGTGTTCTATTTTGAAATGAAGAGTTAGTATATATTTAACAAAATGTGTTTTTGAGAAGAAAATTAACCATTTGGCCAATTGTGTTTTGTAGGTGCGAGTCTGTGTTAAGAGTTTAGAAAAAGTATCTGAAGTATGGGTAAGCGCTTGTTAGCGATTGAAAAAAACTGTAAGCTAGGAATAGGCTTTAGTTCAATTGGGACATTCAAGTAGCTTTTACAAGCCTGCCTTAGAAAAAATCATTACTGATGTGCATCTTGAGACAAAACAATGGCACATATTTTAAGATATGTCAGTGCAAGTTGCTTTCAGTTAAAACAGCTCAAACATGCATTTTAGTCTGGGACTATATCTTAAACCGGGCAAAGGTTTTCTTTATGAACACAGATAAGAGATCAATAATTACTGACATTTAAATTGATGTACAACTGGGAAATTCATTCAAAGATTCATCATAAGGGGGTTTGTCTTCTGTTTTACTTTATTAGAATTAAGAGCATCATATAAGACAGCTTAATTGTTAATGCAAATTTCTTAAAAATTAAACGTTAACATTTTGAACAATCACAAATCATGTTGTCTTTTTACATGTATTGCTTTCCAGCAAAAGTAACATTACAGTAGCAAGGTAGAACATTTTTTTCATGATGCCACATAATTATGAAAAAAATGACAGATAATAGAAAGAAGGTTACTGAGTTAATTCTTGGGTTAAGAATCAAGTTAAATCACTCATTTGAGTATGCCATTGCCACAACTGCATCACTAAAAGTCACGATCATCGATCATTTTAAGGGCACTCTTCACCCAGCTCAGCCCAGCGTTCACACAGATACGAAAACCCTTCTGTGTGACAAGACTGTAAGAAAGAAATGTTCACAGTTTACAAACATACACAATACAATTAATTTCTATTACGCAATATTTATGATGACAAATTACATATTATGAAAGTTTAATACAATCATTTGCCTCTATTGATTACAGAAAGAGGAATTTAAATAAACTCACATGACTCCAGGCTTATTGCAATCCACTCTCGTCTCGATGTAGGAAGTAACTTTAGCGATGGGGATTTTTCTTGGATAATAATTAAAACAGCATTCGTTTGGCATATTGGCATCTGTGTTGAAAAAAGTAATTTATTTATGTAATAAGTGATTTCTCATAAACATTAATCATCTCAAAGTTAATATAAACATTGTAAACAAATCATTGTATCACTAATTCACTCTTAGAAATGAGTTTCACACTGACAAATACATGTTTATTGATACATGTTAATTCACACCATTGAACAGATAAATAATGAAGGATTTGTTTGACTTACTGTTGGCCAGTACACCAGACTGGAGGAATGCAACCGCCAGAAGTCCAATAAAAAGACAAAGACAATAATGACGCATGGCTGCAGATTTTGCTTCTCGAGGTAATACTGATAACAATAGGATAATGGCCAACAAACTTCACCATGGACTTTAAAGGTAAAAGGGGAGGGGGCGAGTGTGGTTTTGGTAAGGGGTCAGGTTATAGGTGAGAAAATGTTCCACTGCGAATAATAACTGAAAAAAAAAGTGTGCTCACAGATCTTACAGGAAACAGTTATGCGGTTATTTCATGTAGCAAAACTGCAACTCACATATGACTCACCATCTTAATCTTAAGTCTATAGTGCCATTATTCTCAATGTGAACATTAATAAGGTGATGAGACAATGGACCATGAATATATTCAAGTTTATTTCTATATTGACACAACAAAAGCAAAGGCAGCATTATATGACAAAAGGACAAACATAAGAACACAGACATAGTTAAAACGTGTTGTGTGAGCTGCATCAATGCATACTCAAATAACGTCTGAAAGCTTCAAGTGTGGGGTTGCATGCACACAGTCTGCATTTGAATGCTCATAGTGCTTAAATGGATGAATAATAAAAAAAAAGAGCGAGTTTTGACTGGCAAACTATTCATACATAGATACACTGAACATTCTGCTGCCTTCATCTTTTCACCCGATTCGGTTAATTGCCACATAAACAAAACACGAACATAACAAATACAATGCACAATACATTATTGCACTTCATTATCAACATTCCCCGTGTTCGTGGATGCCCTACACCCTTCTAAACACAAATTGTTTATGATTATGTACGCACTCAAGTACTCACAACATAACATGACATTGGTTATACACACAAGTCAGCTCTGTCATTACAATTAAGATTGTAATGAGGACTTTTTTTTTTAAATTGTACATTAAGTCATAAGCAGCTGATTGCACTACCAGACACATATGAAGTCTTTTGAAATCTTTTTTGAGTTATGTATATATTTTCATAAGTTACTTCAAAGATTTGGACAAGAGAAAAAAAAAGCCACTAACAAAGCCATCAACTCCTGGTGCTTGATCCCAGATGTACAAGTTATTAATAGTTTTTTTTAATTGTTATACATAAATTGTTAATATCATAAGTTGAGGGCAATGAATGATCAGATTGATGGTAATGCAAACAGCCAACATTAACATGAAATTAATTCCTGGGGTTCTTATTTGGTAATGAACAAGAAACAAAACCTGAAATAGCAGAGAGCATAGTATAAAAGACCTATGAAATCTATGAAAAAGAAAATGTGCAAAGCAGCTTATTGCAATAGTCTGGTTTAAACCACAAAAAAGGTGGGATGTGTTCCTTCGATCACAGTGATCAAAAAGCAGCAAAACCTCACCACATTATCTTGATAATATCTAAACATAAACTTACGACAGAGTGTGCAAGATAACACGTGCCATTCAATATTCTTTGCAGTGCCTTCATAGATTGTTTACATATTACTGTGTGTACATGTGAACACATGCATTGCACACATGACATACACACAAGGGGATTAAGATCTTTTTCTCACAAAAAAATAAAAATAAAAATGCTAATCAATATAATAAATAAGCATCTGGATGTTTAACGTTATACTGTCAAACCAAAAAATGTCTCCATAAAATTCTCAATGAAAAATATTCACAAAAATGACAAACTTAAAAAAGTGAAAAACGCTGTTATTGCTGTTACATTGTGGTCCCATAAATTAGGCCGTTTTAGTGCATGTTATTTACATGAAACAAGCTAAGACCATGAAGTACTCTATTTGTTAGAATTCAAATTCATAACATTTTGTATTCATAATACGTTTTGCATGATTTTAATCTTGACATGATACATTAATAATTTACTGCAGTTTCTTTGTTATTAGCAAAGACAATATGTCAAACATAAATGTTAACGGGATAGCTCACCCAAAAATGAAAATTCTGTCATCATTTTTTCACCCTCAAGTTGTTCCAAACCTGTATGAGTTTATTTCTTCTGTTGAAAACAAAAGAAGATATTTTAAAGAATGTTGGTAATCAAACAGTCGATAGTAGCCATTGACTTCTAGCCTGGATGCCAGCCGAACTTAGCCCCGCCCAAAACATTTGAGGGTGCGAAGTTCGGTCTGGACTTGATCCGTTGTGAAGCAAGTACGCCTGAACCAAAGCTGTTCGGACCAATACAATTGTCGGGGCGGGCTTTATGCGATGATGGACAGATGATCAACAGTAACGTAATCACCCACGTCTCCAAAGAGCGCTTGGCTGAATTCGTTTACAACAAAGAATGGCTGCCGCTGGAGAATTTAGATGTGTAGATTCAGCCATCGCGTCTGTTATAGAAGATGTAGACAGCGCATTCATTTTAAAAGAGGAACAGACAACTGCGATCAAGGCATTTGTCGATCCAATTGAGTGCAGAGGCATTTTCTTTCCTGGTTCGGTTGAAACGCGCGCTCCATAATCACAGCCCAATGGAGCAGTCTCAGACTCACATTCTGACTAGAATCAGAGTATGACGACGTCAGGCTAATTGACTTCCATAATAGAAAAAAAAATACTATGGAAGTCAATGGCTACCGTCAACTTTCTGGTTACCAACATTCTTCAAAATATCTTCTTTTGTGTTCAGCAGAAGAAAGAAATTCATACAGGTTTGGAACAACTTGAGGGTGAGTAAATAATGACAGAATTTTTGGGTGAACTATCCCTTTAAGATGAGCTGTACGACACAAAACCATAATCATCTCTGAACAGGTTCTCCTACATAATCTTTCATCTACTTTCTTCTCAACACTTCAACCACTATGAGATCTAACTTGCACCGCAATGTTAAAGCCACATTCATCACACTAAATTCCTGTTGTGTAGGCATGAACGGAAGCCAAACTTCAGAAATAGGTATATCAGAAACAGCATGTTTGGTTTTAGACTGGCACAATATTTTCTATAAAAAAAAAGAAAAGGGAGAAAGAATCCAGTAGCAATACCACAACACACTAATATATTTCAGTACTCACTCAAATCTCTGAATAAAGACATTTGTGAGATAGAGGACAGAAACGTAGAATACAGACACAAGGAGTAAGAGGTAGAATAAATGATAGTTCTTGATAAGAAACTTAGATTAAAAAAGTGAGCAAAAAGTCTTCACTGACATTGCATTATAGCAAACAAAATGACCTCATGATTTGTGCACTTCCAGTTTTTTACCACATAAAACTCCCTTTGAGACTCCAAGATTTTGAAGGACACGGAGGTAATTTGAAGTCAGTATGCTTCCACACATTAAAAACAAACAAATAAAAACAATCTCAGAAAACCACAGCAAAATATATATTACTTTATTTCGCTTAAATGGAAATGCCACGTTTAAGCTAAGGGAGAGAAAATGATAAAGCCAAAGATAAAGGGTGAAGGAGTAAATAGTGGACAGAGACATGGAATAGTTAAGAGCTTCACAAACTCACATTGCCACACCTAACTGAGAGGTGGAGTGTACATTCATGTGATGTGTTGTCTCCGTTCCAGCCCTGTGAGATCAGTTTGTATTCCAAGCATCAGTTTGTATGGAAGAGGACACAGAGTGGCCACTGGAACTGATATTCTCTGATGAGGTACCAGAGGTATGCAGGAATACCCATGCACAGTCAACATGAGTTTCTCTCTTAGTCTCTGTAAGGTGGAAGGGAACACACGAGGATGCATCCTTAGCGTTTCAGTAGTGGACTGCCCCGATCTTGTCCTTTCTGCAAAGCCTGAAGAACCTAGAGGAACAAACGAGGGGAAAAAAGACTAGTTGAGTCCCATCAGATTAAACATTTTTAAATAAAACTAAAATACATTTCAGAAAGTATTCAGACTCTTTCATTTAGCCCATTCGTTTCTTTTTATATACGTTTTAAAATGTTAAATAAACTTTTTAAAAGCATTTTTTTTTTTGCATAAGGCTGCAACATAAAATGTGAAAAAAGGAAGGGTCTGAATACTTCCTGAACTCACTGTATAATCCGTTCAAAAGTCTGGTGTCATTAAGATTTTTTTTTTAAAAGAAATACTTTTATTCAGCAAGGACAAATTAAAGCTGCAGTCCGCAATTTTTCCTCTTTGTCGCCATCTCTGTTCGAAATCTGCAATTGCAGTTATTCGCGGAATTATCAACTTTACGTGAGTTGTACTTTGACACAGCACAGCGCGGATGAACACAATGTTTGAGGAGACTGTGAGGCTGTCAGTCACCACGCTAGTGTGGATACTGGCATTCAGAATCACAGATTATTCTTTTTGGAAGTATGACCAACATAATAATTTTCACCGAAAAATGTCATCTGAACAAGTAAAAAACATCCACTTTTGTTCTGGTTCTGACATTGCAGTAAATCGCGCTGATTAAATCTAACAATCGCTTATCATATCACGCAAAACCGTGCAAATTATACTTTGTTCTCAAATTGTTAAAGGGGTGGTTGATTATGATTTCACTTTTCTAACTTTAGTTAGTGTGTAATGTTGCTCTTTGAGCATAAACAACATCTGCAAAGTTACAACGCTCAAAGTTCAAAGCAAAGGGAGATATTTGCTTTTAAAGAAATCGCTTTTTAAGGACTACAATAAATGGCTGGTAGAAACTACACGAGCTTCGGACTGCAGCTTTAAATTGATCAAAAGCGAAAGTAAAAGGCATACGCAGTGAAACAAATATTCCAATTTCAAATAAATACTGTTACTTTGAACTTTCTATTCATCAAAATATCCTGAAAGATGTTTCAATATTTTCACAAAAATATTAAGCAGCACAACATCAATTTAACAAGTCAGAAATCAGAAATGTTTCTTGAGCAGCAAATAAGCATATTATAATGATTTCTGAAGGATCATGAGACACTGAAGACTGGAGTAATGATACTAAAAATTCCACTTTACCATCACAGGAATAAATTACATTATAAAATATATTTTAATAGAAAACAGTTACTTTAAATTGTAAAATTTTCACAATATTATTGTTTTTACTGTATTTTGATCAATTAAATGCAGCATCGGGAAGCATAAGAGACTTTTTTCAAAAGCATAAAAAAAAAACTTACAGACCCCAAACGTTTGAATGGTAGTACTGTATATATCATTCTGCATAATTCAGTGTATATGTAATCATTTCAATGCATGTGACGGGTTTATGTGTGATTGTTTAGAAAAAGATGCGCACCTGTGGCCATTTCTTGTTCTTGCTGTTCATGTTGATGGTGGTGATGCTGGAGAAGATCTCCTCAGCAGAGAGACAGTCCGGCAGGCGTGTCAGGAACTGAGCAATGTGGATGAAGTCCATGTGTGTGAGGATATCCTCATAAAGATGCAGGATACCCAGAGCAGTGCGGAAGAGAAATTCCTCACCATCACGACAGAACACGTCCCACACACGACACGCAATGTCCAGTGGGAGTGATTTACTGTACAAGGTGAAGATCCTACACAGACAAAAAAAAGCAGACCTCTTGATAAATAAATCTATACCTCACAAGACTCAGGGGTACGTTTATGAACTGAACTTTTCAAGAAACAAAGTAACTCACCAGTCAATTAAATAAATATCAGAGGACAGACTGTTATTTTTGAAATGTGCAAAAAGCTTTGGTAGATTTTCTTCAAAGAACACTTCAAATGCTGCAAAGTATGTCAACATCTAGGGAAGATAAAAAAAAAGGAGCATATGATGAGTCTTGACTAATTACGATCTTATTGATTGCACATCTTAAAAACCTGCTCATAAAACTCACAAGGCTGTGGTCCACTCTGTAGAAAGCCATTTGACAAGGCTTGTTCAACAAATTGGCAAATGCAATGAAGGCATCAGCAGTGTTCATGTTGAGAATCAACACTGCTGCTATAAAGGACATTCCTTGCACCTACACAAGAAAACAGATGGGGAACAAAATGACAAATACATAACAGACATGTTTGAGGATTTATCTCTAAAGTCAACATGAAACAGAATAGTCTTCTCTTCCCTATTGTGACATAAGTGAAGTGGCTTCTCGAACATGAAAACAAAAAAAATGTAGGGTGAGAATTTGTCCCTTTTGTCCATTGGGAATTGATTGGATCGTTGTAGCTTGCTATTGCTGTGATCTCATGCGAGTAGATTAAAGATTACGAGTGTACATGAATTAAAAAAAAAAGATAAATTATAATAGATACTGCAATATTCCATTAAAAAAACTAGAATTGTCCATTTGGATTTCATTGTGACTTTAATGCTGAGCTGATAAATGAGTGATGTTTATCAGCTCAAAAATAGAATCTACTCTTAATTTAAAAAAACAAAAAAACAAAAACAAAAAACACGTGTTACCCCATAAATGTCAGATGAGTGCCACCTTTCTATATTCAAACTGATAACAAGCATAGACGCAGAGTAACCACACTGTTCCCTGATAACATTCTTGTTCAACAGGTATGTGTTGTTCAAAGGGTAAAATGAAAATGATTAATAAAGCCAAGTTTTTTTTCTCAAAAGATTCTTAATGCAGAAGTACTAAACTAGGCAGCTAAATTATATTACAGATATTCTCATTTAAATTGTTGCATCATACCAGTGGAGCTGTTTTTGGGAGTGTGACAGAAAAGCTATTCTTAATTTTTAAGTTTTTACAATGTGACCTTTACACCCAGCTCCTATGTGGAGGTGTAAGTGCAAGAGCACTTTGGCCAAACAAATGATATTGTGGTGCAGTGAGCAGGATGTAGAAGGGCTGTGCAGCACACATTGCTGTGGCGTTCTCAAATGCGCAGCAGAATAAGGTCTAGGACTCTACGAAAAATGTGCGTAATAGCTGGAACAATATTGCTCATCATACCCCAGCAAACCAGCTGTACAACACAACATCTATGTCAGTTTCTGTTTTACTCTATAAAGATGTCTTTATATGAGTCAATACTCAAGCAAACTAAGGTTAAGATAGTCAGAGAGGGGTTTTGCTTGTAAACAGTGCAGTGGTGCATGCATTGGTGGTTTTAAAAACTAGACATTACTTGAGTAAAACAAGACGGGTACTTACATATCCCACATCGGGACGATAGCAAGTGTAAGCTCCCAGAATGCTGTGCAATACATCATGGTATGGGCCTCCCTGAAAATAAATGCAAAATCAAACAAAAAAATATGATACAATCTAGGGCTGTCAAATGATTAATCGTGATTAATCACATCCAAAATAAAAGTTTTTTTTACATAATATATGTGGGTGCACTGTGTATAATTATTTTGTGTATATATACACACACATGCAAGTATATTTAGGAAAATGTTTTTATTTATATATAAAATATTTATATTTATATATAATATACATTACATATAAATCTATATACAGTATATACATGAAAATATTTCTTAAATATATACAAGCATGTGTGTGTATTTATATATATAAAATAATTATACACAGTGCACCCACATATATTATGTAAAAAAAACTTTTATTTTGGATATGATTAATCACGATTAATCATTTGACAGCCCTAATACAATCATCAGCAGATGATATAAAACACCAGAAACAGCAATGCAACCTACCTGTTGGAATATACAGAGACTGGGAAAGGTTCTGGAAATGTCTAACTTGATCAGTTCTAGACTGGCCTCTCGATCAGCATGAGACAAGCCTGTATCTAAAAATTAAGCAATTATTAGTTACATGAAAGCAAAGGAGTTCAACAGAAAGAAGAGATTCTGATAAACGACAAAATAATGGACGAAATAGCATAAAAGAGGATAATAAAGATTGCTTTATATGAGGTTAAAGTCCCCGTGAACCGGAAGTTGCAAACGACTTTTCTCCAGTGTTGTGACGTATTTCCGAGAGAAACGGAATACTAAATGAGGCAAAATAGTGGGCGTGGCTTTTTTTCCCAACTAGCACCTGATTGGATCTAGAAAAGTAGGTGTTTTCATTCAGCCTGTCTACTGTCAGTTGGAGGGGCGTGGTTACGGATGTTAAGCAGACACCCAAACCGTCAAACCTACGTCATCAGGGAAGGTCCTCCAATGCAGAGGGGAGGGGAAATTTCAGATTTTGATTAAAGATTACGAAGCCAAACATTTGTTTTGTGTGGATTGACTTGCATGGATGAATTGTTCACCACAAAACGATCAATTTAGGCAAACAAAGTAAGTATGCTCAATTTTGAATTCATGGGGACTTTAAAAGAAGCAATTCCAGCAAAAGTGCAAGGAGAGAAACGAAGCTTAAATAATGGAAAACTAAAAAAGAAAAAGAAAAATTCATAACAATCACCTTCACTCTCTGTTTCTGCAGCAGCCGTCGGGGCTACAAAGGCATTCCACTTTTCCTTAGCTCTTGCCAAACAGATGTCATACAGCTCTATTTAAAACACATACACATGCAGAAAAAAATATGTGTTATTTAAATGTTAATGTTAATATGAAATCATTATTTGCTTTCTAATTAGACCCCCTAGTCAAGTCAATTCACATTTATTTATATAGTGCTTTTTACGATATAGATTGTTTCAAAGCAGATTTACAGAGATAACAGGAACATAATGCAACAAAGTTTGTTTCCAGAAGAAAAAGGCGTCACAGTCCAGCTTAAGTAAGTTCAGTGATGTTTCAGTTTTGTTGTAAAAAAGTTATTAATTTAGTTCATTTATATATACTGTATTTAGCCGCTCTGGAGAAAACCGTGATGTCATCGTCCAGCCCTAGTGATAGAGTAAGGTTATTACAAATCAAATTTGCTCTTAAAGATCTAAGACTAGAAGAGTGTTTCTGATTTCTGAGTGTTTATTGACTAAATATAAAAAAAGTAAGTGCATTGTTTAAATACAGGGAATGTATAAACAATAAATGTAAAACTAAGTTATCATAACATAACTACCCCGCTTGTAAACCTGTCCTCATCAAGAATCATTTGCTATTCAACATTATAGCTCCTAAACTTTCTTTATTTCCACACTTACATTACAACAGATGACTGTTGCAAAAAACAAAACAAAAAAAACATTACAACCACAACACAGTTTCAGTGTAAAGTTCTCACAGTGAACATCCACAAAAGCATTGTTACTACTGCTTGGATTACCATATGACATCAATACAGCATTCAAATAAATTGATTTGCAAATTTATGGTATAAATTACGCATGCAATGGGTTTTTGTTAACGGGGCAATTGTAATGTGGGAGAAAAGTTTCAAATGAAAGACTAATCAAACCACAGGATGCTGCTTGTGAAATACCATGAAAACAAAAGCAATACAAAGAAGGGCTGCACGATTTTTGAAGAAAATACAATATTAAATAATGTGATATTCAATATGTGCTACAATAATACTTTAAGTGTGTAAAATAAATTTAAATGTGATATAACCAACATACATGTTTTTTTTTTGTGAGAAGAAAGCATCCCTACAACTTCTGAAATTGAACAGCAGTGGATTAATGTAGCATCACATAAAAAGTAAGTGTCATTTTAACGTCAGTGTAAACCAGGTGGTTTTCAGGTAGGCTACATTAGGCTTATTTAACAACATAAATTGAATAATCATATCTAAAAACAAAAGACTGCATAGTCTTCACTGTATGAATTAAATATAAACTGATTCTTATTAAAGCTACAAAAGTTATCCCATCAAGAGCAGCAAGTAATTTTCTCTTGGTCTTTTGTTGTTTGATTATTTGATAGCCGTGGGAACGTATTTTGATTTCAATTATGTTGGTCAGTGAAAACATTGGAAAACTTTTCTTTGTACTTTTGTCAGCTAAAAAAAGGTTCAAGAGAATTAACAAATCACAAATGTCTATGTTTAATAGGCCTATAAACAAATTTGACATTGTACTACTTTATTGTTGATGTGTTTTCATTAATAATAATGAACTACAAACTAAGTATTCGTTTTAAATTAAGGGGATAATCCAAAGACCTTTCATTTATTTGTGTTACAAAGCGGGCATACCATGTCATCAGTCTTATTTGTTTTGTTAATAAAAGTTCTCTGTTTAACATAAGCAAGTTTGCAATTGTACTATTTTATTGTTGTTGTGTTTTTTCATTAAGAGTACTACTGAAGTAAGCATTAATTTTGTTCCAAGAAAAGGAAATATCTAACACTCAATTTTTTTTTATTTTTTTATTTTTTCTTGAGCTGTACGCCAGGGGGTGCTGCAGCACCCTTCCCGCGGTACTGCAGGCTGCTGTCACTTTAAGAGCTGCACCGATCCAAAGTACTGTTACATGCGCTCTTCCTTTCTCAACTATTTACTCCACTTAAGACATAGCTGACTGTGTTGACATGAATACTCACCAAGACAGGCATTTTGACATAGTTTTGTGTGTATTTGGTCATATAAACTGTAGAAGAGAACTGAATTAGGGATCACACTCTGTCTGATAGGCGGCTTCTAGGGCTGCATGACTAATTACAATTTCCATGTAATCGCACTTAAATCAAGATGGCTTATCGCGATTTTGAAATCGCAAAGGCTGCGATTATTTTGTATGCAGAGCTTGTCAATGATGTATGGCTCTGTAAACGCTGCTCCATCTGAAAGCACTGTGAGTTTGAATCACTTATAACATGCATTTGAAAAAGCAACACGCGTCAAACAGCTTTCCAAACATGAGAAGCATTTAATAACCTCTTGTCCAACAAAAGACAACATTTAATAACACGCTTTTACTCCAAACTCACTTCATAACGACAGTTGAGCATCCTTCTGTGAAATGATGTGGCTTCTTACACAGAATAAGACAGTTGTGTGTTTATTGGTCATGTTTAATCAATCAAAGCATCTCAATCTCCTGTTTATTCAGCTACAGCGATAGGAATTTCCTGGAATGACGGGCATTATCTACGTCTGTGGCGGGGCATATTTGGCATGTCTGCACGAGAGCGCCCTGTGGTGTTCAGATGGAGCAGCATATTTACTACCGATCAGGTGCACTGCACTGACAAGCTGCGCATAAAATAATAGCAGCCTTTGCCAAATCGCGTGCGGTTTTTAGTGCGATTAATTGTGCAGCCCCAGCGGCTTCCTACACGCATGAGTACTTTGCTTATAGCGCTTAACGTTAAGCATGAAACACGTATGTAACAGTCATGTATCCAGTCTATTCTCTGCAGTCTGCATCGACCTAAAGCTTAGACTTTTCATCATCTTTTGAAGTATTAAAATCATTCAGTATTTGTAAGCCATTGCGATATGCATATCGTGACATGTACATTTGCGATATTTCGCAGTTTGCATTTTTTTTTTTACATTTGCAGCCCTAATGCAAAGCGATTTATATAATAACCCACAAAATACACATTTAAAAAAAACTTTTATATTTAGTATTCTTTTTCATTCATAAATTAAAAAATGAATCCAAAGTGATTGTCCAAAGTGTAAAAGTCTTTTTAGTCTTTTCCTGTATGTGCTTACACTCACCTAGTTATTAGGAACACCATATTAGGAACACCATACTAATACTGTGTTTGACCCCCTTTCGCATTCAGAACTGCCTTAATTCTACGTGGCATTGATTCAACAAGGTGCTGAAAGCATTCTTTAGAAATGTTGGCCCATATTGATAGGATAGCATCTTGCAGTTGATGGAGATTTGTGGGATGCACATCCAGGGCACGAAGCTCCCGTTCCACCACATCCCAAAGATGCTCTATTGGGTTGAGATCTGGTGACTGTGGGGGCCATTTTAGTACAGTGAACTCATTGTCATGTTCAAGAAACCAATTTGAAATGATTCGAGCTTTGTGACATGGTGCATTATCCTGCTGGAAGTAGCCATCAGAGGATGGGTACACGGTGGCCATAAAGGGATGGACATGGTCAGAAACAATGCTCAGGTAGGCCGTGGCATTTAAACGATGCCCAATTGGCACTAAGGGGCCTAAAGTGTGCCAAGAAAACATCCCCCACACCATTACACCACCACCACCAGCCTGTACAGTGGTAACAAGGCATGATGGATCCATGTTCTCATTCTGTTTACGCCAAATTCTGACTCTACCATCTGAATGTCTCAACAGAAATCGAGACTCATCAGACCAGGCAACATTTTTCCAGTCTTCAACTGTCCAATTTTGGTGAGCTCTTGCAAATTGTGGCCTCTTTTTCCTATTTGTAGTGGAGATGAGTGGTACCCGGTGGGGTCTTCTGCTGTTGTAGCCCATCCGCCTCAAGGTTGTGTGTGTTGTGGCTTCACAAATGCTTTGCTGCATACATCGGTTGTAACGAGTGGTTATTTCAGTCAAAGTTGCTCTTCTATCAGCTTGAATCAGTCGGCCCATTCTCCTCTGACCTCTAGCATCAACACGGCATTTTCGCCCACAGGACTGCCGCATACTGGATGTTTTTCCCTTTTCACACCATTCTTTGTAAACCCTAGAAATGGTTGTGCGTGAAAATCCCAGTAACTGAGCAGATTGTGAAATACTCAGACCGGCCCGTCTGGCACCAACAACCATGCCACGCTCAAAATTGCTTAAATCACCTTTCTTTCCCATTCTGACATTCAGTTTGGAGTTCAGGAGATTGTCTTGACCAGGACCACACCCCTAAATGCATTGAAGCAACTGCCATGTGATTGGTTGATTAGATAATTGCATTAATGAGAAATTGAACAGGTGTTCCTAATAATTCTTTAGGTGAGTGTATATGTGGTATGCATGGGTTTTGTGTGTAAAAACATAATATACACAAATATAAAACACACATTCATACCATCTGTGATGTTCAGGTCATTTCCTATCGCTAGACTCCAGACTTTGCCCCTCACACTTGGTGGCAGACCTTGCCACCATAAATCTCTCACCCGCCTAGATGAACACCTGACATGGTGAAAAGAAAGACAGAGTGAAACAAGTTATTTCTCTTCAGATAGTTGTGTATATATCGTGACTGTTTCTCTGAGCACATTTTTAATTCTTACATTGTTTATTTCATTTTTGGACTTTTAGACATTTTAATGTTTTATTTATAGGGACAGAAGAGAGATGATAGGATTTAATAAGGATAAGAACTGGAGCTGAAAATGTTGCAAGCCAAATTGAAACTCACATAGCTTGCATAAGCACCTAAACTCAAAATATCAGCACAAAATATCATGTACTAACTTCTAATCCATGTCTCTCACTAATCTTACATTGGACAATACACCTCTTGCCAAAGATTACTATTTTTAGAATGTTTTTTGGCTACTCAATCTATTGACTGTTATTTAATTATATGGGATATCAAGAAGTGACATTTGTTTGTGTGGCTATAGACTGCGTCAATGAATTTTGTGTGCTGACTCACATGCTTTGCCAGTTGGGTAATATCTCCTGACTCCAGGTAAGCGCAGCATTGCCGATGCTTTCCTCTAGTTTACACCTGTCCTCTAGCTGTTTTTTCCGTTTCTGGGCCTCTTTCAGCTCTGCACAGAGAAACAGAGAAACACACACACACACGCACGCACACGCACAGTGTGTGTGTGAGAGAGAGAGAATGGCAATGAAATGGAAATCTGTCTCTTTTACAACAGCGCCCTCTAGAGCACACAAAACTAAAGACAAACAATCAAACTGTCAAGTTCAGATCCAACTTTTCGCAACATCTGCCAGTGATGAACTGAGAATATTTACTGGCCATAAATATTTCTTACCAGTCATGAAACAGTATTTTTTTTAATCATTATGGTGTGTTATGTGTTGTTGCATGCATATTATCCATGGACCCTGCGCTCACATATACAACAAACACATGCATGAAAAGAAAGTCACCTCTCTTCTTGGCCTGAGCCACCATCTCCTCATATTCTTGTCTGTGTTTCTGGGCTTCTTCCTCAGGCTTTGCGGGAAGATTCCTACACAATAGATACAAAATAACTGTCAATTCACTTTTACATTACTGCCTGTGAGAGTCACATTCGGTCAAACTTTACATCTGTAACTCGCTTCTTGATCTTGATTATCCCTATGCTTTAATACATACTAGTATGCAACATTAAATGGTGCTCATGTCTGTGAATGGTACAACGTTGCATTGAAGATAGAGGTGATTTCATTTTGTTTTAGGAGAGTGCTATGCAGGGGCGTTTCCTCCGAGGAGGCAAGGGAGGCAGTGTCTCCTCAAAACTAGATGAGAAAATAATTGATATTGCAAAAATAAAACAATGCAAACATTAGAGACACAAGTGACTTTTACACTTTTTAATGTAAAGTAACATTGCCCAACAGCGACACCCTCAGGTAAAGTTACAGTGGGAGGCTTCCCAATTGACTTAAAACAGAAACTTACCCATATTCAACATTTCATTCAGTAACATTAGGCCATTTTGATTTATATGCTGTTTATAGTTAGCATTATTTTTCATATGTATCTGCTTACAATATGAGATCTCTCGTTTCTGCTTCTTCTTTGCCTGTGTTTTTTTGATATGGAGATACTGTACTCGTTTAGGAGATGAGTAATAGCCCCCCCCCCTCCTTATAATAGTGATAACGAGGAAAGCCGTAAAAACTCGTCATTGGCAGGGAAGCGTTTTCTCATAAATGTAGCAAGTAAACAATTCAGCCATTTAAATATCACCACTTTATATCGCTTCAAAATCAAACTTGAATTGGCCTGAAAACATGATGACTGTGGGGGTTTTAGTGAGCAATCAGCTTAGTGAAATTAAAGGTACTTCTTCATGTCCATGCCTGTGACCAGTGTGTACAAGCTTGATGACTGCTGAAAATAAGTTGACTATTAAAAAGAAAAGTTGAACATTAGTTTGCAAATAATATTGTTTAAATTGTTACTGTCTTTAGTTACAATTTTGGAATAAATGTTTTTTTTTAAATGCTTAAAAACACCAACTTGATTTATACTTGGTTTTAATAAATAGATTATAAATTACATTTATACAAATTACAAATAAAATTATATTTGGTCTTTCTTTTTTATGCAATGTTTATTTAACTAGGAAAATTAAGTGTAACAGGGACATACATTTACATTTGATATATATATAAAAAGTGAGGACTTTTAAAACATTTTAAAACACCACTGCATACCACTGATGGTACCTCTAAATTCTTTTTTTTTCTTTTACCGATAATACAGGAATAAGAAGTTTGAGGATAGGAGGGTATAAAATGTAACACATTTACAGAGACATAGGCACACACAAAAACACTCACGCTGGACGGTTCTCCAGTATAAGGGCTGTGGTTGAAAGTGGCTCAAAGTCCAGGTTCTTTCTTACGTTCTTCTTGGGAGATGTGGAATTGCTTGTGTGTCCACTCCTGCTTTCATATTCCTGTAAAAATAGATAGATTAATTAATTAATAGCATACCTATAATAAATAATAATGTAGTTTTTAAAAATTTTGATAGTCACTTTTTTTTAACCAAAAAACAGTTAATGTAATTTGACAATGCATGATAATTAAGGCTGTTTTGAGGTCTATTAATTTTTTTTTGCAATGTGACATTATTTGTATGACAATAATGCACATTTTTTGCCATATTATCATTACTGTAATGTTGAGTTTTTTGTAATTCTCCTTATTCTCAATAAAAAGTCTAATTTAGCTCTAATTAATGTAACCATTTTTTGTATTTTATTGAAATCTGCATAAAAGAAAACCAATAGAACAAATACTAAGAGTTTTTGTTTTTGTTTATGGTAACAAGGCTTAACCACCCTAAAATTATAATTAAATAATACATTTCAAGGCTTTAGGCATGACACCTTGATGGAACTCATGCTGAAACATGTTAGAATGTTTTAACATCCAGCTTTTTTTGCCACACAATACTTTCTTCACAACCTGCACAGATGGAAGCAGAAGTTCTCAAACCAGCAGGAACTGAAAATAATAAATGTCTTAACAGAACACAATATGTCATGACGGGCCCAAATGAAATCAGAACAACTTGCTACTGTTACAGTACGAGTTTCCTTTACAAAGTTTCATGTCATACACTGTACACCCTGCCTGAATAGAAATCTGTGCAATCTTGCATTGCATCCATCTTTAAATTCTCTGATTTGGATGATATTCGGTCGAATTTGTATATCCAAACAAGTTGATAGAGGAATATGTTTTGTTTTATTTGTGCAGTCAGAAAGCACACACTATTGCACACTGAACTGAGTGAATATAAATATTTAATTTGCCCCCACACTGCACTTTCTCAGAGGTAACTAGACAAAATGACCTACATTCCAACTATGAGCCAAATAAGTTTAAGAAAAGGACATCAAGTAAGATTAGACGAAGAACTCTTAATTAGTTCTAAGAGTAAATGTGGGACAGCCAACAAAAAAAACAATGAAAATATAATTCACCAACACACACAAATGTGTTCACACATGAACACCAGGTACACCTACTACAACAGAATCTCTCTCGTTCCACGTCATTTCCTCCCCACAAATTCTTGTTTTTCTCTTTCTTCTCGTTCCCCTCACCTTTTCTTATTTATCTGACGGAAAACAATGAGGGGGAAAGAAAAAAATGAATAAGGCATGAACTCACCATGAACGCTGCAGTGCTGTTGAGACATTCAGAATCCAGCGTTTCAGACACTACACTCTACCATTGCAGTATTTTCCTAACTATAAGCTTTCTGCCTTGTAGACAGAAAGGCAAGGCACAGTAGCAGAGGAAGACCGCAAGGAATATGGGACACACCCTGAGAAACAGTAGCATGATACTTATGTGCTCCTGCTCCTCTGCTATTATTGCTGTCTCACTCCTGCTAAGTTACTTGACACTGTTTTTCCTCGCCCTCTTTCTCTCTATAACTCCGTCCAAACAAACATGCACCAAACTGGGAGGGCCTACATCAGAGGGACGCAGAGGATCTGATCTTGTCCCTTGCTCCTGTTGTGTCCATATGCGTGTGTGCATGCTAATGTTACTCGTCATCACAGCGCTGAGAGAGGATCCATGATTTACAGGCAGCCATACTAATTGATTCCAGCTATTAGGAGCATAGAGCTCTCTGCACTGCAGTTTTATACGATCAGTGCGCTCTGTGTTCCGCTGTGCATGCCTGAGTCATGTACAAAGATGATGCATAATCTGTTTTACTGTGTGTCATCAGTTCTCATGAGCTTCCACTGATTAAAATGAAATATAAAGAAACACATCCTAAACACATTGTCAGACAATCCCACAAATGTTTAGTCTGTTAAGACTTAACAAATAAAACAAGTAATGGTAGCAAGTAGAATACTGCAGTTTAAAGTCAGGACTAAAGCACATAATATTAAGTTCATCTTAACTCATCTCTTCCAAGGAGCCACTGCTAGAGAGCCTAAATAAAACAGCAACTCTAAACCAGTCACCCAATACCTCAATCTTCCATTACAGCTACAGAGAACAAAAACGAGAGATAAAGGCAGGAGTTGGAGGTGGGTGGAATCTAGATGGACACAGGGAGGCTGAATCACTGGGGTTCAAATTACCTATAGCACATTGCAGGCCTGTTGTTTCTCTGTACATAGGAAACAAAGCCCCATTCACAACAATGTCATAACAAGACTGCAATGTAAAGCCATTTGATTGATTCATGTGTAACAATTAAAAAAAAGACAAATCTAAACGAATATAGACAAATCCTAAAACATTTTTTTCACTGTTAAATTACTTTCTTTCAAGCAGAGAATATTTTAACTATTGGGATTGTTGTCCTGCCCTTACGCCGATGCACACATCATTAGAGAAGAGACTTTGCTGTGAGGGGGAGAGGAAGGTAAAGTTTTTGGCTGAAGACTACGATGCCACATGAATTAAAAAAAAAAAGCACTGATAAATAATTTTTAGTAAACACTACAATATTCCATACAAAAACTAAGAATTGTCAATTTTGATGGAGACTGAATTTTTATGGTGACTTTAATTCACATGTTGATACCCCCAAAACAGCTCAACCAATGGCGTGGGTTTGGGGCGGGACTACATCTGATCGGGGAAGGCTTTGGGAAACCAGTTTCATTCATTTTGCAAGTTTGTTTAAACTTTAAGCCAAAACATGAACAATACAGACACTAAGACATGACAAAGTATGAACACTACTTCTTGACCTTATTTTACATAGTTCATAAATGTGCATAAATACAAATTTTAGAAACCTCCCTTTGATTTAACTTAAATAAACATTGTTTTTGTAGCACTATATGACTTAATTGTTAAATTGTAAGTTACTGTAAATACTTTCCTCTCATACATTATAAACAAAAATCCACAATTAGAAACAGGACTATTTTCCTGGGTAAAGTGGCAACTTCACGTATTCTAAAGCATAGCTTGACAGTTAATAATTTCTTTAAGGGATGCCTATTAATATTTCACTTGTAAGTGCTATTTCTTGGTTAATATCTAATTCCATATTTGAAGCAGTCATGGGAGGAAAGTGTTACCCTGCACATTTTTACCATCAACGTTGCTAGGAGATGTATGACAAATTAAAACAATAAATTCTAAAAATTACTTAAAATAAATATGAAGCATGTCTGATGTCATCCAACTGGATGTAACCATAGACTCAAACTAAAAAATCTGCAGATTGGATGTGACTTTCAACAACTAATGTTGACTTCTTGAGACTGCAAATCGATGCAAAAATCTGGGCAAAAGATGTGTAGAGTATTCCAGGCTTTAGTTTAAAAGCAGCACCTCATATAACTTGCTTAATACTAAGAGATACTAAATATTCAAAATTAGCAGAGCCATGCTCAGTGAAGGGTACTTTTTACAAATTGAGTTTTTCAAACAATTTTTTCATAATTTCAGGTCAACCTTACTACATACAAAACCACCCAAAAAGCAAGTATTTTGTCTTTTAAAGCTGCAGTCCGCAGTTTTTCCTCTTTGTCGCCATCTCTGTTCGAAATCTGCAATTGCAGTCATTCGCGGAATTATCAACTTTATGTGAGTTGTACTTCGACACAGCACAGCGCGGATGAACACAATGTTTGAGGAGAGTGTGCAGCTGTCAGTCACCGCGCCGGTGTGGATACTGGCATTCAGAATCACAGATTATTCTTTTTGGAAGTATGACCAACAAAATAATTTTCTACGAAAAATGTCATCTGAACTAGTAAGAAACATCCACTTTTGTTCTGGTTCTGACATTGCAGTAAATTGCGCGGATTAAATCTAAAAATCGCTTATATCACGCAAAACCGTGCAAATTATACTTTTTTCTCAATTGTTATTGTTAACAACGTCAGCATTGTGTGACTACATGTAATGTCCTTCCGATATGTATCCTTGTTTTTGCATGGGTCCGGTTTCAGTCTCTTTTTTTCTGTAAGTTAGCCACTCCGAAGTCCGAACGAAGTCTTTTGCATTTTACAACGGGTGAATCTGTTGTCACTGGTGATTGTCGTTTGAACCTTTCTGGATCCGCCATCAAATTGATAAGTTTAATTATATCAAGTGCTGTGAGAAAAGGCTATAAATCTCCACCTCCAGCATCCTCACACGCAATATAGCTTATACTAGCCGAGACTCCTTCTTTATGAGTACAGATGTGACGTAATGACGCAAAGACATGCTCGAATCTCCCGCGGAAATCCACCAGTACCACTGGAATTAAAAACATTATTACAAGCTTACCGTTTTGAATCGAGCTAAGGCAAGCAGAGAGTTTTGAACACTGGCTGGTTATGTATTTTCTCAAATATGTATTTTGGATCATTTTTAACCCAAAAAAGCTACGGACTGCAGCTTTAAAGTCTTGTAAAAATGAGCAGGTGTGTAAAGTTAACGTACCTTTGGTATTTTCCTGGAGTCGTTGGTTGAAAATTCTTTATGTGGAACTTTACCAAACAGCTTCCACCCAGGCTCTCGCTGTCCTTCCAGTGCACCCGTGTCCTTCATCCTCTTAGCAAAAAGACTCCTTACAAATATAGAAAATAAATAACAGAACTGAGCAGTGAGCACTACTGAAAATGAACAAATTTGGCTCTATATTTTAAGCAATATGAACTCCATAAACTCCACATTTATTTAATTATAAAACGGTTAGTTCCAGTCCTTGATTCTGATTGGTCAATAGACCGCTTTTCCCGTGCCCTGACACGCTAGTCATTTGACAGTTGTGTCTTGTTGGTCTTGTTTCAGTCCTTTCAATATAAAAGTCTTCTCTACTGACTGACTCACTCATAAAGACAGTCTTTGCCGCCATCTAACGGCGAAATAATGCAACTTCTGCTGCTGTTCACAGTCAGGGACTTTTTTTTTTTCAGCGGAAGGAAGGCTTAGTGATTTTATTTCATGAAAGTTCCATTGATACATGTTTTTTGGCTTTAATATTTGTATTGTGTGGTAACCGTTTTATAAAAAGGTACTCAAGGCTAGTGCTGTATCGTGAATAAGTCACGACTGAAGGGGTTGCAAGCACTCTGCGACACACTTCAGCCGTGACTTATTCACGATACAGCACAGCCTCTCGTACCTTATTGCTTACGTATAGCACTTTTCATTGAATACTGCACTATAGTGGCGAGTAAGGGAGAAGGACAAATATTTGAGCTGTTTTAAGATATCTATTGAGAGCTTCAAGACAGTCCACCACATCACAAGTGATGAAAGGGCAGGTAATTCTGAGACATGGGTCATAAGAAACACAAGCATACTCTACAATTGGAAGTTCAGATAGAAAGGGATGTTGACAAGAATTTGGCATGTACACATAAGTACACTCAGAGTGTTTTTGTTGGCAGTTCCACTAAAGGCTTTTCCCTCTGTAAACATTTACAAAATCAGCAAGTGTATGATGCCTAGTGTTTTAAAATCTGTTCAGGTTTGAAAAGTTGTGTGTATTCCAGTCTTAAGGAAACACCACTTGCAGCAATTGCAGTATTTCAACTTGTGCTGTAGGTGTTGATATACTAAAAAAAAGGCTGAATCTCGAAAGAAAAACTGAAAAAAATACTTTTAGGGTGCTACCCCTTGACAAATCACAGAAGTCAATGATAAAAAGAGCTTAGATAGTGTGAAAAGTGAAAAGGTATCTACAACAAACAAACATCTATTGCCAAGAGTATTGTAAGATTTTCAAATGTACCTAAGAAAGATGCACACATGAAAAATAAAATGCAATCAAAAATTGTAAATTAGGAAAAAAGCTTTAAGCTTGTTGAATAATATTAATGCAACATTATTTGAAAGGCAACATTTGGATAAACTTGCACAGGCATATCATGATATTACTGAACCAATCTGGTTTCTTAGTGCGAGTTTAACAACATTACAAATGCAAATGCTACAATACCTGTGGAAGAAGTTGGCGAGAGGTCCCAGTCTCTTGGGCCTAGCCTCATGAGGCGTAGAGACCCCCACTGCCTGCCGTTGTGGGCTGCTCAGCTTGCCGTGTAGGTTAGTAGGGGGTGAGAGGGAATTATCAGAACGGTGCAACACATCATCATTCTCAAATGTAACAACGGCGCTGGACTCGGATGTAACCATGAAGTCTAGGAAGTCCTCATTACTGACTGACAATGTGGCAGAAAACTCAGTACTTAAACTGGACACACTGCACACTGAAATATCATCACTGCGGTTCAATGTACCCTTGCCTGCTGCACTGGAAAGCCCACTTGCACCGTAGAGACGTACCAAATCAAAGTCACAACGGGGGAAGGTGGAAGACTTGAGTAAGGAGCTATCTGAAATATCCAAGTTAAGTGTTGCTGGATTATCATCAAGTGGCGGTGGAACCACCAGCTCAGCTGTGTTGACCCGAGCATGAATGTGCTCAGGTGGGTTGATCTCAAGGGTGGGGATACCAGAGTCCTGAGAGGCCAGGCTACTGCGATCCTCATCACCTGCGCCGTTACATGGAGTGAATAATTTGCAGCCGAGTGAGACATGTGGGGGCTGAGAGCATGAGGGCATGAAATGGTTGACATGGTTTTGGGTGAGAGGCTTGGGGGCACTCCGCAAACACTGTGAAGACTTGATTATTGATGAGACCTGGGAATCTAGAAAGACAAATTACAAATGTTGATCAGTCCTTACAAGTAAAAAGCTAATATCTGTAAGCATCAAGTCATATGGGTGTTTCTTCCCTTTTAGAAAATAAACTGACATTTTTCTAAAGCTAACAGATGTAATTTCCATAAATAGGGTTTGATAGCATTCTGTGGTGGAAATTACAATTATCAAGACAAAGCAGTCAGCCATTTTCTTCATCATTCTAATTTTATAAAAGGCATTTTATGCATAGGGTTAGGGTTAGAGGCAGTTTGTGCAGAAAAAAAAATCCATCTCTACTTTTGACTTTACCCATCATCATATATTTCAAAGTCAACTGGAGAGAAATAATTCATAATCAAACTAAAAAAATAAATCAAACATATCTCTCTATCCATAACACCCTACATGGCATGAAAAAAATATAGAAAAACAAAAACGGTACTGGTAATTTTCAGCCAGGAAATCTTACAGACTTTTCCTTCAACCCCGAAACACAACACAATGCGTAAATTAAAATATGGGTAAAACACCTGTGAAATAATCCATCCAGAAAATTCCTTCATATTACCACAGTACATTGTACCCTATTTTTATATACTTTTGTACTGCAGATTTTCCATTGGGTGACAGGTCTGTGCTCTCAGCCCTCACTATAGGCTATTCCCCACATGTCAATGTTCCAGGTAAACATGTCCTGAAGAGTGATAAGACTCAATGTGTGTGGCTGGGTAAACACTTCTCTTAGTCTTGCCTGAGTAAAACAACAGTACAACAACCTTTATCCTCTTTTAGTCGTAACACACCGTTGACCAGCTTATCTCCACATAATAGAATGACATGAAAACTGTCCTGGAGTAGAGAAAGCAAGCTGAAACCAGATTAAAAATGTGACCCAAAGACCTGAGGAAACATCACGTCAACACTCCCTCAAACTATGAGACAGTTGTCCTCAAACGTCCTTGATAATCTACCGGACAATATCTTCCATCAAAATTTGACCAAAATAGCTCGTTGACTTAATGAGGATAGAGGATGAATGATTGGAGAGCGGAGGGCCTGAGGACAGCACAATAGCACATCAACAGCACATCAAAAACAAAGTGGAAAATAGAGCAACATCAGCTCACTATTTTGTTTGTCATGTTTATATTGTGCCTAATAAGGATGCAAAATATACAATGGGAGAGGCAACGAATAATACGAGCTCTACTGGTTCTTCTTCCCCAATTGAATATGGTTCAGTGTGCATCACAGGTGTGTGCAGCTGCACATCTACTGCAAAAGAAAAAAAAAGTGCAAATAATCTACAAGCCGATACTCGATTGTGGACAGAACATGCCTTAACAAAGCTGTGAAATCTTCAATTGAAAATGCAATCAGTAACTGCTGCATTTGACAGGACAATAATAGTTTAATTGCCCAACAATACACACCTTAAACAATAACAACGCTTTCAACGCTTTCAATGGTGACCCAGCCCACATATTTCTCACATACAAAGAATTATTTTTGGTCTTTGTGTTTTAAGGTTTCTGTGTTCCTGCAGTCACAGAGAAATAGCTAACTGATTTTGATTAAATTTCCGAATTAATAATTAGCTTTTTCAACCAAAATCATACAGTCATAGAGCAATGAAGTACCTCATGTGCTGTTAATGCTTGCAAAATGAGACTTGCTCTCTGATGCAATCTTTCATAAGGCAATCAGATCCGCTAAATTTCTCAAAAGCACCAAAGACAAACTGTTTTTTTTTTAAGGAACTGCAATTTCATGACAGAGATTATATGCTGACAAAAGTTAACGTCGGGCTACAACATTTTTATAACAATGAACAAAAGTATTTTGTGTTTAATGCTAATAAAAACAAGACAAGGACAATTTTTTTTTAGAATCTTCACTCATATTAGATTTCCATACGGTAATTTCACTCATTTTAATTAGGTATAGAGTTAATGTATATACAGTGTATATATACATACACAGTAAATAATAAACAAATTTTACATTTCATTGTCATTTGCGATGCTTCATGGGATTGTAGTTTATTCCCTCATTAAAGTGGTTACAGTCTTGTATACGGTGGCCGAGAGAGACAAAACGCAAAATGCTCACAAACGTGTCACTGCTTGATATACAACCACTGATGAACATTCGGTTTTGATGAGAGAGAAATAAAAATAAAAAAACGATACGAGTGCGGACTAGAACCCAGACCTCTGACACGCTTGGCAAAAGTTCTACCACTAGACCATTAAATAAACACAAGAATAGTTTGCGGATCTATGGATTTATTAATGTGAAAATTCTTGGCACTAACAATATATTTGTATATTATTAAATGACAAATAAGGCTAAACCCAATGTACTATAATTGATTTCTGGACATCGTAATGTTAGTGTACACATATATTGCACATATCTGATAGCAACCTCCACCTGGTTACATTTCAAGTGATGGCCTTGAAAATCAGTTTGACACTATCCTGTAGTCTCATTTCATTCTTTCATTGTTTTCTGGACATTGTAATGTTATTGTACACATATATTGTACATATCTGATAGCAACCTCCACCACCAATATCACAAGGTTTTCTATTTTTCTGGTAACATTTCAATTCATACTTTGCACGTGACGTCACAAGTACTGGCTGGCGGCAAGAACGTTGTTCTCTAGCAACGAAACCCAGTAAACTAATCAAGGATCTTGCCAGGACGTCACCAGTTTTACTATACAAAAGTTGGTGTTTTGAGGTTTGTGATATCTATGGTTTTCAATGAGAACCAGAGATGACCCAACAGTAGAGCTAGATTATTTACGGAGGAATTATTACTGCTCGATTATCTTAAAAAACCTTGTCTGCTTTACACAATTTAGATACCTTGGAGTTAATCCTATTTCTAGACCATAGTTATGCAGCTAGCTCGCTAACAGACTTGATAGCTACTAAAAGACCCATAAGACCTGGAACTACAGGACTCTACGTTGAAAATACCCGTTTGTTGCCCGCCAGCTATCCATGGTAGTCACGTGACTGCAAAGTATGAATTGATGACTCTGAAAATTAGTTTGACACTATCCTGTAGTCTCATTTCATTCTTTCATTGAGGTGCATGCTACATTAATTTGTCAATAATTTTTTTATGCTTTATCTTCTGTGTTTTAATACACATCTGAACATGTTAAACAGACAAATAAAAAATTCTGTGATATATAAACTTTCTTCATTTTTCTAAAGAACTTTTCGCTTATGCACAACATAAGCGTAATAATACTACCGTACTTATGCTGTTACCATTTTGACATTCAAGACCCTAAACAAACAGCTTGGAAAAGGATGTTGGGGGATGTACCGGTTACATACATAGGGCAACAAAGTTACTTTGAACTCACCATCGTTGTTCTGACAGTTTGTGTTGCTTTCACTGGACGTAAGCTCTGCTTCTGCCATGTTCCTGCTGCAGGTGAAGGGATGCGTGTGCGTCCATCACCCCCTCACCTTCACTCCAGAGTCCATACCCTCCAACAAACAATACATCAAATACTATTATTATTGCGATTATAATATCACACTGTCCGCTTAAGAACACTTCTACATTTTATTTATCATCTTATCTATAAAATGAACTCAAACCCACAACTTTTCTCATTGCTGCTGGTGCACATCACTCTTCCTCGGTTCGGGATACGTTCAATTTTTTACATTACGGCAGGTGACTGACTGAGCTCAAACTTTACTCAAACTTCTGCGCACGAGTAACGCTAACAGCGCTATAAAAGCTAATGAAAAGTATCTTACCTGTTGTGACGCTGCCACCGCCATTTTAAAACCTCCTCGCCGATATAAACGTGCCAGGAAAGCATACGAATCGATAAGTTCACCTGCCCTGACTGAATGAGGTGCAGGTCTGCCTCAAATAAAGTAAGAAAACTTGCTATTTCCACCTGTAGCAGTAATGTCGCGTTTCAGGGATACAAAACGTCATTTAAAGAGGGGCAGAGCGTTTTGAATCTGTTGGGACATAATGCGACAGTCAGTAAATCAGGAAGTGACCTTCAGTGCCCTATCAACACTGTACACACTGCGCGACGCGATAAAACTACAACGTTCCCATCTACGCAGCTGCTTACAGTGTTATAGCAATCTTCCATGAGTGATTATGGTTTTGTCGCCTCGCGTGAGGTTAAAGTTTGTTTATGCGTAGATACGGTTTAATGCTAGTTTTAATAAATCCAAGTAGGTGGTGTTTTATCAGTATCCAGTAGACAGACTGTTGCTATAGTAACTAAAACAACCCCCAAACCTGCATCAGGCTGATTAAAGTGAACGTCCCTCATTCCTCACACTAACTCTACAATGAAACGTCTGACCATTGGGTGGAAATAACAGTATTTCATCAGTTGTACTGACTAAATACTCTTTACTGTATCTAAAATACAGTTACTTCAGAAAGAATTAACAGTATTAGGAGCCCACCTGTTTGCTCGTAAATGCATTTAATGTTACTGACAGACCTTAAAATTTTACTTTCATTTCACCACTACCAGGTGACAACTTATGAATGAATACATCTGGAACATGCAATATTTGTAGCTGGATTTTATTGTTACTGGTACAGCGTACACTATAAACAGGAGCCCAGGCTGTACAGTGTGACACAGTGGAGAGGCCTCACATTTTAAAGTGAGTGGACCCTGGTAAAATAGACCAAAGCCTACTCTCAAATTACATAATTTTATAATACATTGGATACAATTATTGTGACAATTAAGATAAGTTAAATGTGATTTATTGTCAGCCAACAGTTTCATGAAAACAAAATCCATTCATAAATAAAATACTCAATAACAATTCACAGAATAAGAAAAATAAATGATAAATCATAGGCGGAGCGTTGCTGGGCAAGGTGGACTTAAGACTAGTGTGGAATTGTCTCAGTCAAACCACTGCCTACTGCTGCTTCTGATTGCTTTTAGAATGAAAACCTGCCCATAACTTCTGGTCTATGATAATTTTTTCGCCATAATAATAGCATATTGGCGATTTGGCAAAAGTCTCATTTGATTGAGTCGACCAGCCATCATTCTGAGTGGGCCAGTGCCACCCTGGCCCTTATGTAGCCTTGCCACTGTTGCACATGCTATGAAAAAATCTGTCTGTGTGATGAATGAATTTACCACAGTACGCATGTGATACAGTTTTTCCTGTGTGAGACAGACAATAGTATGAGACAGAGACACTTGTTCGAAGTAAGAGTTTGTTGTGTGTGAGTAATGAAACAGACATTACAATACATGCGTACTCACTAATGCTCACACCATATTTGGGGTAGAAATAGGAAAAATAATACATCTCTCTAAGACATTTGAAGTAAACATATGCGAATCCATACGTTTTTCTCCAGTGTAGAGAAGTGTGCAGGAGTTTTTTTTTTTTCTCAGTGGATGCATACAAATTTAGAAATTACCATCACAGATCTTGTTTTTTTTTTATTTTATTTTTTTTTATAAAACTTTAGACCTAAAGGATGGGTTTTGTTTTGATTGTGATTAGTGATATTGGGCTATATATAAACAAAATGGACTTAATGTTAAGCAAGAGTATTATGTTCCTGCAGTCTGCCAGTCAGTCAATGTTTGGCTGAAAACATTTCGTGTTAAGGTTTGGATTTTGTGTGCCCTGTATGGAACATTAATGTCTTTTGTCAGTCACATGCCTGTTTAAGTGATGAACTGCACTACTTTTGGTTGTTTTCAGAGATGGGAACAGATGTTTAATACTTGTGCTACAAAACTTTCAACCTCTGTAGCACCTAGAACATGGTGCTGGGCCTGCTCGCTATAACATTTTATTAGGCTTACTCAAAGGAAGCACTGAGAGAAAATACTATGAATATTCTTTAAAAGGCAAATTACAGTTTGTAATGTAATTGTCTGTGACAAGTCGTATCGGAAAGTCTTTAAGGTCAGGGATCCACTAACAGATTAAGCATTTCCCTCAGCCTGATTTTGTCATAACCAGGTTGGCTCAGGGTCAGAACTTAATGTGTACCTAAAACCAGGCCAATTCAACATTTAGCTACCTGGTTAATGACTGTATAAATCAGTATTTTTCAGAAATATCTCTAGCCGTCACTAAGAAACAGAACAACTATGAACTTTTTTGATGTTTATTAAAGGTTTAGAAACTTCACAATGGAAACAAAATGATGTACTCAGATGTACATGGCATTAGAACAATGCAACCAACTTTGTCTGTATTGGGGTTCGGTGACTTTCATCAGGTATTCAGAGGAAAAATACAGGTTTGGGCTCCAATTAAGAAGCTGTCACAGAGATGAAATGGAGAGAGTTTTGCTTTAAAAGTTATACAACATTGCAATCAAAACTTAAACCTGTAAGTACAGACTTGAAAGTCATCCTCTCCAAATGTATTGACCAAACCAAAACCTAAGAAAAGAAAGCAAATAATGCAATTTCTCCCACAGACATGTGAGTACTTTCTCCAGCAATCATACCACCTCACACACACAACTAGACTTGAAAGATAACAAAGTGTGTCATTTTTTTTTTCATTTTAAAATGAGTCTGTTCAAACTAAAAGATGAACTGATTCAAATTGATGCAACTGTAAATAATCTGCTTATGCTGTTTTGTTATATTTCACCATCACACATTCACTATATTTATGCATTGTCTCAAAATGCTTAAATTTGAAAAATGCTTTTATCCTCCATCACCCACCCAGCATAAACAATTAAGTTTCTTAATGAACATAAGTCCAACTAATACAAGAAACAACTCTGGAGGATGGCAACATTTCACTCCAAAGGGCTTGACAGAAAATAGTTAATTTATATTTTGATTAGAGAAAGTGATGCCAAAAATGTGTAATTGCATTTTGGAATCTCTGACAGTATTTTAAATTTGAAAAATGAAAGTGAATTGTAACGTTAATTGTCGACTAAATAATCCAATAAAGGCACCCAGGTGCTGCTCTACCCAGTTATACCATACAGTAAAATAATTTATTTGTGCCTTGTTTTCTACCACTAAACATTTCTATTAACTGGATATTTATGTTCTTTGTGAAAACAATCACACTCCCATAACCACAATAAGGAAATAATGTGGGGAAACAAACACACAAGCCGTTTCAAACTGGGTCATACAAAATCATCTCTCCAAGGCCTACAGCCATTTCCATACGGTCTAGGATCATACACTTCAAACCTTAGACCTGTTTCTGTTAAAATAAGCACAAATCTTTTAGAAGGACTAAGAGTGCAGACAATTTTCTTATACACATCTAAAGATTACATCTTAGACATGGTGTATGAATGTTAGCACCAATATATAAAATACTCTATTTTTTTTTTTTTTTTTTTTTTTTTTTTTGCAATTTAACCCAAAGTGCATCTCAGAACAGGTCAACAAAATAAACTCTCTTGCAAAGGGGCATTTTTTTTTGGACATTTGATGCCAAAGCAAGTTTAAAAACTTAAATCCTTGTGCCAACTGAAGGAATCGTTTTTCAAAGGAATTTTTTGGTCAATGCTGATGGGGCATTATTATTTTCCATTTCCTTGTCACATTCAAATTCCCCCTGAAAATATTTAACAAGTAATGCTTTAAAACAAAGTTCCCCACATTGGTAAAAAAAAAAAAAAAGCACACTAACATTTTTCAAAAAAAAAAACAAAAAAAAAAACATAGAGGGTACTTTTAAAATGTCAATTTTAGTAATTTCTCACTTGTAATATTTGTAACAAAACACAAAGCTGAATCGTCCAGGCTAGATTAAAGCTATGTTCGATCTGTTAAGGTCAAGAAGCAGACAAAAGGGAATAGATAAGTCACAGGTGTAAAAGATGGTATTAGATCACAAAACAAATTTAGGATGGACTGGATTTTGCATTATGAACATAAAAGGGTTACACCGTACCCCATTCCACAGCCATTAAAATTATATAGGCAAGCAACCTTTCAAACTTTGCAGGAAAAGTAATTTGGGCCTTATTCAAAGGAAAACAGAGGGGAATGAGATTAAATTAAAGTAACATTTCAAAAATAAACCCCATGTATGTTCCTCTTAGCCTTAAACAAAAATACATCAATATCATAAGGTTGTAGAGTTATTGTGTGCCAAAATACTATATTGCTTTTATAAACCCCTCTTCATATTAGATCTTGCTACCATGCCATGAGTATGATGCATAAGTTCACACTGAAACAGCCACAGATTTCTAAAACAAGTAGGAGGTAAAGAACATGAAATTAAACAACCTTCAAGCAATCAAATGCTGTTACTGGAAATTATCAATTTTCCTGTTAAAAAAAAATAAAGTAATCAAGCCATGTTATATGAATAATCAGTGGTCACAATTTTGTTGATTAAAGAAAGGCGAAACAAATAAACTGAAAAGCCCAAAATTTACACTAACCTTAAAGAAACAATACATAACATTATGGCTACAATAGCAAACTGCAACAGATATACACTATCAACTGTAAGGTGTAATAGTTTTTTTAAAGACTTAAGAAACAACTTATCTGAAATTATATGGGTCAAAATATTCTGTTAACTATTTTTCCATTATCTGCAGCATTTATATTTTACATGCTTTCCAGATATCTTGCCATACTTGTATTCAGGAAAATGTAAACTATTCTTTGCCACCAGAACTCTCTCCAAAATTAACTTTTATGAAAGGTAACTTCACAAATCAAACCAAACTGACAGTAAAAAAGAAAAAAAAAGAAGTGAAAGAAATAACCTAGCAAATTGTTAAACCTTTATCAAAATGGCCGGGAAACTCGGTAAACTCAAGCAAAGAAAGCAACTTCAGATTTCAAGGGCAAAGCTCTGTTTCTACATTCAACATTTTAGTTTGCTTATTGTTTTATTACACTTTCAATATATTACCCTGCTTTATTTCTTTAAGATGCTTTCAAAGCAGCATGGTAGGGGACAAAAGAAATTTTCTTTCAACACACCAAATCTCACACAACTCTATCCTCTACAAGTCATTTAGAAGGAAAAAATAAGACAAAAAGCAAAATTATTTGGCAGGGGAAGGGGGTGTTGCAATTGTAGTGCTTTCAACCTGACTTCTGAGTATTCATAGTTCGGTCACAGAAACTTTGACTATTAGAAGGACTGAGACTAGGTTCACAAGCACATGCACAATCAGTAGGACCACAG